ATAGCCAGACATCACTTTTTCTTTTCACTGCTATGCTGATGATCTACAAATTTATGAAGCCTAAAAACAGTAACCTTCACACACCTTTTTCTGATTGTATTGCCGACATTAAACAGTGGCTTCACCGTAATTTTCGTTTTTTAAACGAAGGAAAGACAGAATGCATCTTCTTCGATGATGATGCTCCCTGTAACTTTGGTGCTCTGACATCCAAGTTCAGACCCACAGTTAAAAACTTAGGGGTGACATTTGACAAGGACTTAAAGTTTGATAAACAAATAGCCTCTGCAGTCAAGTCCTGTTTTTATCAGTTATGTCTCTTATCCAAAGTTAAGCCTTTTTAAAATTGTTCTGATTTGGAAAAGGCCATGCATGCTTTTATCAATTCAAGGCTTGACTACTGCGATTCCATATATGCAGGAATCTCCCAATCCTCCATTAGACGCCTTCAGTTGGTCCAAAAATGCTGCAGCTTGACTCTTAACCGACACCTCCAGATGTGAGCACATCACCCCTGTTTTATTTTCTCTCCACTGGCTTCCAGTCGATTTTAGAATTAAATTCAAAATGTTATTATTCACTTTTAAAGCACTTAATGGTCTTGCCCCACTGTATCTGACTGATCTTATAGCTGTTCGTGAATATAGTAGAACACTGAGATCATCCAATACTTTTCTACTGTCTGTCCCAAAGTCCAACTACAAACGATGGGGTGACTGGGTCTTTTCTGTTGTTGCACTCAGACTCTGGAACCATCTCCCTCAGGACTTGTGCTCCATCACTGATATGGAGCATTTTAAGTCTAGACTTAAAACCTTTTTATTCAGGCAGGCTTTTAATACCTAGTAGTTCTTTGGCAATCTTGCTATGTTTTAATTGTTTGTTTTTAACTTGTGTATTGTGCAGCACTTTGTGCACCTTTTGGCTGCTGGAAAGGGCTCTATAAATAAAGTTTGATTGATTGATTGATTGTAATCGTGTCATTTATGTCACAAATGTCAAATGCCAAAAATAATATGGTAATGTGATATTTTTATAGCCTAAAATGTCTAAAATTTAACTTTTTACAGTATTTTTTTAACTTTTGGGCAAAGAAAATGTAAGCATTCATTGATTTTTGAGCTTTATGAAATTTTCCTTTTAACAGATAATTAAATAATTAACTTGTGTGTGTTCAAAAATACTGTCACTCGGTCAGAAACTGTGAGCAGCTTTAAAACAACGGCTGAGCTGGTCAGACTTCCTGTGCACAGCTGTGTCCTCCTGTGTTTGAGAGCTGATTAGTCTTTGATGATCCCCGCTGGATTATCACTGATTGATCGGTTCGATTCTGGCTGTAAAAGCACTCAGTCGGTGCGATGACATTAACTTGACACCGCTTTGATTTAAATACCATGCAGTTAAATCGCTTCGTGGCAGATCAGTCGATCCCTCCTGCTACGCAGACTCGACAGAATCAAAGTCCAAACTTTCTCTATTTCAGTAAATGCTGATGAATGCAGAACAGTCGTGACAGGTCGTGTTAATTATTTAGTTATTGTCTTTCTTTGCACAAAACAAATACTTATCTTTTCTGCACACCGGCTGTGCCAAAGTACTAGAAATTATAACACAAGTGAAAACCAGTCACATTACTTCATGTTAAACAGCACCAGGGGGTTGAGGCTTCTGTATTTGCAGAAGCCTAAACAATTAACATGGGAGGAACTCAGAAAGGTCATGAAGGACTTTCATGAAGGACTTCAGCCTCGAAGAGGTTCTGACAAGTGAACCCGTCTCAGACTGGGCTTGGTTTGCTGCGAGCTGCTCACCCAGACTGGGGATATTGTTGAACAGTAGACGAAATACTTTGAGGACCATGTTCATCTCTGAGGAGACAGAATCTGAAGATCTATTAGGAAACATGTCCATCACAGGTAGTTAAGCTGTTCGATGGCAGGACGCCAGGGGTGGACAAGGTTCCCTTTGACACGCTGAAGGCTCTGGATAGGACTGTAACAGTTGACGAGTCACTTCGATGTCGTATGGGAAACCGAGACCGACACCTGTGGAGGGCGGTGGTCCCGATTTTGTCTGGGCTGAAGACAACCTTATAGATAAGGTGAGGAGCTCCATCATCCAGGAGGAACTCAGAGGAGAGCCGCTGCTCCTCTACGTCAAAAGGAGTCAGCGGAGGTGGTTTGGGCATCTGATTAGGATGATTCCTGGTCACCTCACTTTGGAGGTTTTCTGTGCATGCCTTATTGGAAAGAGACTGTGGAGCAGACCCAGAACTTGCTTGGAAGAATATCCTTTCTGGTCTGGGAACACTTTGGGGTACCCAGTAGAAGCAGTTTCACTAGAAAGAAGAAGGTCTGGGTTTTCCTCCTGGACATGTCCCAAGCATGTATAAAAGAAAGAAAAATAACCTTCAGATTAAAAAAAAAAAAAACATGGTCTGCAAAAGTAAAAACTGGTGTAGAACATAAAGTTGTAAAGATTCATTAACTGCGTGCCATTAAATTTCATTTTCACAGCAGAGCAACAAAATGTTAAATTATGGGGCTGAAAGTGAGCAAGATTTACTTTTTTATGTTTTGTATTTGGTTTCCCTCAACTAAAAGAGTGCATTCACACGTAGGTGGTATAACACAGCTGCTTCAGTACAAAGCTTTGATATAATTGTTCCATAAAAAGCCAGCGTGTGGATTAAGGTGTATGATCTCTGCTGTGCTGGAGTTCTGTCGTCTGAAAACGGCTCGGCAGCCACAGGAAGTCACTGAAATGAGCCTCATTAATCTGTTAAAGCATTAGCGTTCTATTGTTCAGGGTTACGGCACGCATCGCTTGCTGTTTTCGAGAGATATATATTAGAACAAATCACCCCCTCACTGTAAAGATTCAGTTTTATTACAGAATATATCATCGTGACGTCACAGTTGATAAAGCTGTGGATGTAGGATTTACACTGGTAGTGTCTGGAAACAGTTGCAAAGATCACTTCTCTGTTTGTCACCACCCTGAGCAGTAAAAAGTACAATTGTGGACATTAAGGTAGTATTATTTTTCACTTCTTCAAGGCTGGCTGTCTCCTGCACTGCTTCTCGATGCTGTTTGTTCTGCGTCAAAGAGCTGAAGCTGCAGATTCAGTTTTCTGCCCATTTATTTGACTCAACCTCTGCGAACGAAACGCTTCCAGCTGATGGAGCACTTGGTTACGGGAGGAAAAACTGTCATATAGGAACTTGACTTGTTTTTATTTTAAATTAGCGCTACAATCTGCAGAACTCCTCTGAACAGTTGATTGTATTCCTGTGCCTGTTTATTAAAATGACTGCAGCAATTCAGACTTGGGTATTTGGTAAAATTTCTGTTGATGTTTTGCAGAAAGGCAGCATGGTTCAAACAAAAAGGCAACACATTAAGTTGCAGTCAGGTTATAGAAAGTCCGTGCATTTCTTAAAGGGAACTAACATCAGCTGAGGCAGAAATTACAAGTCAGACTATCAGTTTTGTGACATTTGGGATTGAAAGTTAACTTTCTTAGAAATGAGACTTTGGTTGACTCAGAAAATTAATCAGTTGTCGATGTGCATAGGTCTGTTGCAATAAACAATAAATCAATTAATCGCATGATAATTTAAAATTATCAACCTCATTTTCATTTATCGGCTTTATCGTTTCTTCGTGTCTCTCTCTTTCTACTGAAGACACTGGATGACAAAAGGTGCTCTTCACTGACCCCTCCCTTTCTCTTTTCTCTTTAAAATCCATTTTAACGATCCAGAATCACATTTTTGGATCGCTAAATGCAGCTAAGCTGAGAAGCTAAGCTACGAGCTAAGCTAACAGGCCAACCGCGAGAAAAAAACCTCCGTCTTGTCGAAACTCCAAAATTCACGGTTGAAACCCGTGCCTTCGTGTTAAAAGTTTTTTCTCTGCAAAAAAAAGGCCGAGAACTTGTTTACTGATTTTTTTTATTAAAAGCTTTGTGTGAAAAATGCCATGCTAAAGAGCTCAAACCACAACGAGCTTGCGCCATTTTGAGAACCCAAAAAAACAGGAAGGAGAGACAGCCCATGTCATGTCAAGGGACCTCCCTCCCATTTTTCTTAAAGAGACACACTGCTCGCTCCCTCACTATCCATCCTTCGGTTCAAACAGTCGTATACTGCCATCCAGTGGTCAAAAAAGATACTACACTCAAAAATTAACCATCATTTTTTCTTAAATTTTACAATTACTAATTATTGTCAAATTTCAAACAATATTATCACTTATCGCAATAATTTCTGAGACGATTAATCGGCCAGCAAAATTTGTTATCGTGACAGGCCTAGCTGTGCATCTAATGACTATTTTCAGAGAGTTTCATTTGCATCCATCCAGTGGTTCGTAGGATATTTTGGTAACAGGCAGACAGAGTTGAGTTATTTTTAAAGTTTTAAGCAAAAATCTTACACAAGGTGACATCTCGGAGTATGTTTTGGGGATCAGGCTCAGCTATTTCTTAAATTTTACCTCTACCTTTATCCAAATGACTAAGTTTTAGCCATTTTTGTGTGTGTTGGGTTTGAATGACTGTGACAGCCATTTTAAATTGAGTTGATTCCAAAAGTTATTGTAGACGTACATCCAGTTATTACTTTCAGCGACTTTTGTCGAACTTCATCCCATAGTTCACAATATGTTTTGCTAACACAAACAAACAGTCACGTGGGATTGTGCTATTCCCTGCCTTTCATGGCAGTATATAAAAAATATATGTTTCTGTCTGTTTCTCCTTAATTACATTTCAGTTAATTGGGATAATTATATTTTTTTCAGACATGAACTTGTAGTTTTTGTATTTTTAAAAGTCATCAGTTTGGTTTGTCCATGATCTTCACATTATGGTGACCTCTTTGTTTATTTTTTATTTAACGTTTTTTTCTGTAACAAAGGTTTGTCAGATTTACTAATGAGCTCTGTGCATGTTTTCCTGTTGTGTCTGTGCTCCCTCCTGACCCGTCCTGTCGCAGGTCCACCTGCTGAAGGACCAGCTGAGTGCCGAGGCCACGGCTCGGCTGGAGGCCCAGGCTCGAGTCCATCAGCTGCTGCTGCAGAACAAAGACCTGCTGCAGCACATCTCCCTGCTGGTTAAACAAATCCAGGAGCTGGAAACCAAGATGGCTGGACCAAATTCCAGTGAGTCAGAGCACATGCACACCATATGGAGGAGTTATCACTTATACTGTGAACATGTTGAGAGAAATGCACATAAGGAATCTACTGAAGGTAGAACTGCAGAGGAACACACAGTACAAACATGTATTAGGCACTTTTTAATGAGAAACCAAGTTGTATAAAAATGTAAACGCAGTAGAATGATCTTTAACCTTGAATCAACTTGGCAGCACTTTGTCTCAGAGGGAGTGTCAACACCTGCAGCAACAAGTGAACGGGTAAATTAATTCAGTAGCAAAACCTCCAGAAATTCATCTCGTCTGTTTAACATGCAGATACTTCAGAAAGTACATTTAAAACAACAGCTGTTGACTAAAGTGCTTCTTTAAAGTAACCAGAAAAGAAAACTTAAACTATGAAAATATTGAATATTAATAAAATGCATGTAAAGTAGCTCTAAATAAGCTTTAGCTCTCTAGCAGATTTGAAAGGCGATGAATATAAATGAGTTTTAGGATGAGATTTACAAACAGCTCTTGTTGTAGCTTGGCGAACGTGCAGGGTAGTCGAGTCTATAATTTAGAGGCCACTTCTACAAAAGCCCTGTTTCTTCTGTACCATTGATGAAGCTGAGGAAATTTAAATCTATAATTTAATCTTTGAAAGACAATCAAACAGCAGTTTAAGTGAAAACTAAATGTCAGTAGATCAGAACTGTTCAATAAATTTTTTATTTTTTTTTATTTTTTTTTTTAAGTAGGGGTCCAAGGGGCACAATTATAGAAACAATCATATTGACCCGAGCATAGAACCCTGGGGAACTCCTTGAAAGAAACTCCTGACTACATATGAGCATAAATCTTTAGAAATCCACCCCTAAATAATCCATATATGCAGCTCGTTGCACGGTGATGAATCCAAATGTGTGCAAGTTTGTAAACAGAACATTTCCGATCTAATTCAGTCCAATTTCTTGTTATCGAACTTTCACCAGAGGTAATGAAGGAAAAATTCAAGTTCTGCTTTAGCCTACCCCATCTGGAAAGAGTAAACTGAATATATTGTAAAGCTTCATTTCAGTTTCTCACTCTGACAAGTTGTACTTTTGCAGCTTTGGTCATCGTATCATTTTCAGGTCTCTCTTGTAAATGAGTCCCCATGGCTCACTGGGACTAACCTGTATGAATAAAGGTTGAATGAATATTCTTACTTTGTGAGTATGAAAATAAGTTGTCTGTATTATCGCTGTGCAATGAAAATAGTCCCGCTTTTTTCCCCAAACAGTTTAAAATGGAGTAGGTGACCTTGATCACATAAGGGTGGAAGGGATTTGTGTAGTGCATTCAGGTTTGTGCACGTGCATGTGGTAAAGGGCATGGGTGAGAAATGGTGATTGTTTAAGTGCGTAGGTGCAAAAGCTTTGACAATTTTGTACCTAACTGATACAAAACATCAACCGTTGCATATGAAATGGTAAAGGTTGGAAGCAAAATGTAAAACTGAGGGTATGAAGTGGGGGTGCAGTTTGACGGAGGTACACTCTGACCAGCACCCAGACTAAACAATGGCTTGAATTTGAGAGATTAGCTTAAGCTCAGTGGGATTATATCAGAAAGGTTCAGTGTGTCTTTCTGCACACAATGAGCCTAACACGTCTGCTTAAAATGAAAGAAACCTCCAGAAGACATGAAGGAGCAGACATAATTACCTGCAGGCAGCAGGTTGAGTGTTAAACTTAATGGGATATGTTTGGAGCATCTGATGACCAATGTGAGCAAATTAATTGTGTTTTCAAATGAGCCCCTCAGTATTCTTAGCCTCCGCTCACGTCCTGAAGCCGTTTGTCCCTGACACACACACACCCCCCCCCCCCCCCCCACAGCTTCGTACGTTTTTTTTATGTCGACTCTTCAGACAGAAAATCTTCTCAGCTCCATCACAGCCCAGCCTGCCCTCCAAATGTCACCCTGCAGGAAACCATCTTTAATTTCATCAACAAACATAAAAAAATGTGATAATGATTAAAAAATATATATATATTCTCATTGCTCTCCCTTTGAGTTGGACATTTTAATATGCACCCTTACTCACTCAGCAAACTTTTCTTTTTCTGGACACACATGTCATTGGACAAAGTAAAATCAAAATATGAGCAATAGTAACTGTTTTTTCACTCTAATGCTTCAGAACTCTAACATTTTTATTTTTATTTTTTTCAGATTCATTGTCAGTAATATTAAGTTCCTTTTTGTCATACCAGTGAGTACACAGTAGCTCAGCGTGTCCAAGTAAAAACAGGTTTTTACCTTCTGGTCATTTGTTTAAAGATGCCTGAATGAATTTAAGATAATTATCAGTTTTAAAAAAATAGCAATTTGTTCACAACTTCCTTCTAAACTACCCTAAAAAAAAAACAATTAAATGAGTTCCGCATCTTTTTTACCATCACTACATGTAGATTTAATGGCTGCGTCGTTATGTACGATGTTGTTTTATTCGCTGAAAACAAAAATGTGTTGCAGCAAGCAAAGATCTGAAGAAGGACACACAAGAAGGAAAATGGTGACATAAGAGGATCGTGTCCGGTGCGGTCCAATTAGTCTGGACCTGAACCCAACAGAACATCTTTGGAGAAAAAGGCTGGTCTGATGAATTAGAAGTCAGGCTACTTTGGGGTAATCCCCATAATATGTGTTGTGATCTTTCTCTAAACTTGTCAGGATTTTGCAGCCTTAAGAATTTTTAGTTTAACTGATGCTCTCTGAACATTATTGGTGCAGGAAAAGTGTACATTTGCAAAGTTGCATCACATTTACCTGCAATAAAACCCTCAGCATGAAGCAGGAAAAACCTGAAAGTCCTATTTTAGCCTTTTCTCTAGTGTTTGGAAAATTAAGAAAGCAAAACGAAAGGAATCCATCTTGAGCCAAGTCTGGATTATGAAATGTGTTAAACTCGAGAGGACACCATCCATCACCTCAGAAGCTGCGCCTTATCTGCCGTGTGTCGCAGCTCTGGGGCTTACTTTCACATCACGACTCCCACACTTTTAAAGGAAGCTGATCTATCCTAACGTTGTTAGTTACGGCTGTCGTTTTCTTCATGTCACAGGTCAAAGTGACCAAGGTGGGAACGGTTCGTTTGAAATTATTTTCCGCTGATTTTAATGGTGCTTTGGCAGCGTTTATACAAGGCTCAGAATGATGCCCCTACAGTGAGAATAACAGCAAATGTCATTTAAAAGATCGGAATCAGCTTTATTGTCTTTTTTTTTATTATTATTACTTTATTTTACCAGGAAGAAATCCATTGAGATCATCAATCTCTTTTACAAGGATGTCCTGCTTTATTGGCATTGCACCGAAGCGCAGCGAAATTACCTTTCAGTACAGCTCATCCGAGAGAATCATAAACAAACAAACAGACGTGGGGAGACGGAGGTGACTGAGGCCGCCGGCCTCGAGAGGCGCAGCCCTTTTTTTTTTCAGATAAGGAAAAGTAAACACGAGGGCGAGTGTAGGTGTAAAAAAAAATCAAATCCCATCTAGGACACAGTGTAAAAGTTACAAAAAAATGACCTCAGCACATGAAACTGCAACATACTGATGACATCATAACACATTTATGCACGAGGAGAGAGACGTGGGTTGAGTTGCCCGTGGAGACTGCCGGAAAGTTCCATAGTCCTGATAAAGATGGCACAGTGTCTATCAACCAGCTCAACTCTGACACAGATCCACAGGTGTCCTCGGGAGGGGAGCGATGGGGGGGGGGTTGTTCACATAAACAACCAGGAGAAGTTGAGATAGCTGGACAATTCAAGGTCAAGTGGGGAAGCCAAATTCAGATAACACAATTATTTTGGGTCAGGCAACCTCTGCTTGAATTTCCATGTCTGCTTTCATAGTTCTGCTTGTACGTCTCACTGGTGATTACAAACCGACAAATGTTGTGGTCACACCACCAGACTGAACTTGTAGTCTTCTCCAAGGTCGATTCCTTCCCACCAGTGTGTCCCAGGAGCCACAAGTGGTCTGAGGTTCTCAGGAATCGCATCCAGGTTATGGCTCGGCTCGTAAAGCATCTGAGTCTGAGAGCGTACCGCTCGGTACATTCCTTCATACAAGGCAGGCAGCCTTACAATTGCCAGAACCGCTGCCGATGTCTTCCAAATTTGTCGATATGCTAGATACCTGTCAACACCAAAAAGCAGAAATCCGGTTATCATAAATCCAATTATGTATGTGTCTTCAACATCCTCGATGAACAATACGTACAGACACACCATCTTCCACTGGCCCCAGGAATCCATAGTGTATCCATCTGCGAGTGTCTCTTCAGGGCATGAGGGCTCTCCTTTGCCCTGTCTGCTCATTAAGAAAATGTTATCCATTGCATTGAGAGACCAGCTGACCAGATCCATAAGATCTAAAAAGAATCTATCAAAAGCATTTAATAAGTGTTTAAACATTCACTTTTTTCAGTGCAATAAATTTGGGGTTAACTGTACATAAAACAATACGCCCTACTTAGTTAGCTACTTGACCAGTTTTGATTTTGAGCAGATGAAGAGTAGATAATCTTAATAAATTTAAACCTTTCCTCTCACAAAGTGTGAGCCTTGTTTCTGCTGTCCTTAATCAGGAAAAAAAAACCTTTTCAGAAGCTTTAAGTCCTGTTTGAGTTTGGTTTAAATTTGATATGGTATGTTTCTTTAACATGTCGTTTTGCTTCAGGTCAGTCTATAAACAACCACTTCATCACTGAGGAGACGTGATGATGATGAAATGCTTGGAAACATGTTTTTTCTTTCTTGCCCCCTCAAAGCTTTAGTTGATTTATTTTGTTAGGGTTTAAAACCCTGTTTGTTTCCCACAATTCATAGATATCTGTGTCACATAGATTTGTCTTCTGCCATCCCAACTGAAGGCAGATGAAGTGAAATCAACCCACAGTGGACCCGTATGGCATAAAATAACAGATCATTCATTCATGTCTTCTGTCTTCCATCCTGTCCGTTCATCACCTGCTCTCTTAATGTCCAGTTTTTAACCCCCATCTCCTCTCTCCAGTGGGCTCTCAGGACAGTTTGTTGGAGATCACCTTCCGGTCCACGGTGCCTCCAGTGATCTGTGACTCGACCACGCCCAAACCCCAAGTGTCGGACGTCAACCTGCCTCCATTTGGCGCCGGTGATGGGACCAGCAACGCCTTTTCTTCTTCCAACGGGGCTCTTGGGAGCCCACTAGGTAGGGACCAATGTCTACTCAAACTGGAGTGTTTCCGTTTTCTCCCGGGACCCCCGGGGCCTCCACTTCCTCAGCTCCCCTCACCTTCCCCGCCATTCAAGACTAACTGGCCGGAGACTAAAGGGCAAGACGTGCCCATCGCTCCAGCAAACTTCTTGTCCAGAGAAGTCAAACCTTTATGCAGCATGGAGTTCGCCAGGTTTCGTGAGTCCGGCATCGCCTCAGAGTACGAGTCGAATACAGACGACAGTGACGACAGGGAAGACGAGGGGGAGGATGAGGATGAGGACATGGAAATCTTTGGCTGGGGGACAGATGAGGAGACAGTGATGCTGCTCAATGTTCTCAACAAGCAGGGAGCTCCCGACTGTCTGGGAGATGAAATAGCTGTGTAGCACGCCGTAACCTTGACTTGGTGTCGTTCTTTCCCAGGAAATGATTACAGGACTCACCATAGTCGCATACAGATATTTATTTATTGGGCTCACGAGGTAAACACCAAGTCATTGTTTTTGGATGGCAGATGGTTCTCACCTTTGTAATTTAATTTCCCTGTTTCTGTTGGTCCAGCTTACAAACGTCCTTCTTTTCAATCCGTTTCCATCCTTAACTTAAGTAAAAGCTGCTGAAATAAACAGTGTTACATTACTCATTAGGCATCCTGATCAATTATTAGTTAATTTCATGCGTAGAAATTTAATCTTGGCGCCTCTCCGTTCTTTTCTGACCTTATTGTTCCCCGTCACAGAGCGAAGAGGGGGAATTGGAAAAACCCATCCTCCATTTTTTTGTGTGGCAACATCTAAGTGTAAGAAAGGCTCATTTTGAAAATTGGGCTGCCACATCAAAATCCAAGATGGCTGCCACCATATATATATATATATATATATATATATATATATATATATATATATATAGACCATCCCAATCATTTGAGGAAACTATGCTCTCAGTTTTTATATTGCTTAAAAGAATAGTTTCTCCAAATGATGGGGTGGCCAAATGTTAATCTATGGGCAGCACGGTGGATTAGTGGTTAGCATTATTGCCTCACAGAAAGAAGGTCGTGGGTTCAATCCCATGTTTGGACTTGGGGTCTTTCTGTGTGGAGTTTGCATGTTCTCCTCATGTTTTTATGAGTTTTCTCTGGGTGCTCCGGTTTCCTCCCACAGGCTAAAACATGCATGTTCAGGCTGCCTTCAGGCCCAGGCCTCCCTTGCTAAAAAGAGCTGTGATCTCAGAGGGATATTCCTGGTTAAATAAAGTAAAGGTTCATTTATTAACCAGGCCACCCCCTGGCTCCACCCCCTGGCTCCACCCCTGCACCTCGTTCTAGATAAAACTCTCTCTCCACTCACCTGAAAATCCCATAGCAATGAGACATCGGCGTTCCACTTGTCTACAGTGAGTAAGACAGAAACACGTGACTATGAAAAATGTTCAGATCAATTCAGCAAGTTGTCAAAAACATTCAGCATCTACAGTATAAAGTCAAACCAACATAAAAAACATCCCAGTTCAGTTCAGTGGAGTCAGAACATGAAGTAACACTGAATCATCAACTTAAAGGTCTGAACAAAGGCACTGGAATCTGAAAGATCTCAACTCTGCAGGACATCCTAAATTACAGACCAAACAAACCTCACGTGCGCACAGTGATTCGTACGGTTCAGTGTTAGCGCCGTCATTTATTTTGGGTTAAACCTGAGTAAAGTGACTTAATATGTTGCATCATATTCAGCCTCGAAAGCGAGCGTAATCAGCCTGAGCCTCAAGAGAAAACTCTGAATCTAATGTGTGTGTGTAAACTCTAATTCTTTCAAATCCGTCTTACTCATTTCCTCATTTTCTTTCCCTCTTTTCTTGATTACACACTCAACCCTCTTCTCCAGATATCAAACACTCTTCATATTTACAATTCAGGAGCTGAGCTTGGATTTTTTTGTTTCTTCGTTTCAACAGATTGAAATATAAAAATGTCCGTCCGTGTGTGTCTCTGCTGTGTTGAATCCTAGAGGTATCAGGCTGTAAAATGAAACCAAATTCAACTGCTGTGGTTTGAGGAACACAACATTTCCTTCAGATTAGCTCGGTAAGCTCTCGGTTTGTCAGAGCTGGGAGAGAACTCGGCAGGGTTTGGGCATTCTGGAGTGAAAAGTGACACAAAAAAAAGAACAATCAACTCCAATTTTATGGATGAGCTGCTATTCTCTCTGTTCGTAATTAATCAGAAACTATTTTTTGACAGAAATGTGTGTACAAACTTTGTTTCTGAGCTGTCCCACTGAAACTTTTGAACTGCTCTTTTTCTCTTCGGCTTGTTGTCTTGGTAGTCGTTTTCTCTTTGTTTCACGTGTCTCCTTGTTTTTAATTTATGTAAAGCTGGGATTAGCTAGACCGAGGGGAACGCTGTTTGTTTCCTTCATTCAACCCGAAAACAAAAACACCTCGCTCGCTCCAGAACGCTGGCTCACGAACGAAAGCCAAGAGTTATTTTGTTTGTGTAAATCCAGCTCTGTGTATGGCCTAAGGGCACAACGCTGTATTAAAGTATTCATTTTGTTTCAGGATTTTAAAAAAAACAGTGTTTTCATTTTGGGTTCAAGTTTTTCTGAGCAGCAGTCCATCATTTGGCAACAGTACGGTATTTTGAAAACATAAAAGGGGATCAGGCTAAAAGTGCTCTCGGTGTTGTGCAGTTTTAGTTTGATTACCGTACTTTTCGCTGTACAAGTCACACTTTTTTGCATAATTTGTGTGCCCTGCGACTTATACAGTGAAGCAACTTATTTATGTTTTCCCCCATATTTATAACCCAATTTTTGACTGACATCTGACCGTTTTCATTCATTCTGACATGGAAAATATTGAACATTACCATTTTCAGCCACTAGAGGGCCCTCAACCTATATGGCAAGCCAAGTGGCTCATTAATAGGTAAAAGTGGTCATTAATGAGACACTTGGCTTGCCATACCAAGCCACCTTCATCTCGCTCTGGAACTCCTGGAGCAAGCGTCCTATTAGCCGCCCAGGCAAAATGTAGCTGATTTGACCATTACAGTGCATTTTTTAAAGAAAAGTTCAACTGAGACACACCTTTGCTGTAATGTCAAGCAAACAAATAATTGTTTTTAGGTGTTAATCTTGTTAAATTCAGATGAAATGCAATGCGAGTCCTCCCTCCGCGTGCTCCCGCTTCCACAAATTGATTTTTGAAATGCAGCTGATTTGACCATTAAAGTGCATTTATTATGGAAAAGGTAAACCGAGACACACCTTTGCTATAATTTCAAGCAAACAAATAATTGTTTTTAAGTGTTAATCTTGTTGAATTCTTGTTAAAGTCCTCCCGTGCACGCTCCCGCAGCCGCCATTTGGCAGCCAATCGATTTTTGGCACAACGCCGGCCCACATTTCCAGGTGGTCAGCGGTGACGCCTAATAGATGAGACCTATACGGCAAAGCGACTTATTTATGGGGTTTTTTTTCCCACTTTATCAGACATATTTGGACTGATGCGGCGTGTACGGTGGCAAGTACGGTAAATCAAACCAACCGACTCCCATGTAGCCACTTGCCTTCTGAACAAGTTCATTTGTACGGAAACTTTCTGGAGAGAAATGTCTTCAGAGCCATTTTTGTTTATGAATAAAGGCATAGTTGAGACAATTTAAAGTGATTTTCTATGTAATTAATCATAAATATAGCTAAGGTGGCATCAGTTTTGCATTAAACTGTTAATGGGGCAGAAAAAAATGTAAGAAATTCCTGCCAGATGAGGCGTTTGTTTGCCCTGGAAGTGTCGCAGGTGCCGTTTACGGTTGTAATCAACCATATGTAGAAGGATATGGGGCTGGATATATATTGTAAATTATCAGTTACGAGTTAAGCTCATAAGATATGCATTTATTATGCAAACAACCTCGTTGTTTGGGCACCACCTCTGTTTAGAGGAAAAATCAGTCTCTAACCCCAAATTAAATGTAAACTGAAACGTGAATTATTTTCTCGTGTTTAAAGGGCATCAAATCAGTTAATACACACAGACATGCCAAAATAATCACAAATTCAGTTGATTTTATGTATTTTATTGCAAAAATAATAATCTGTGATATATGTGATGAAAAATTATGCATAACAAAACAAATGAATAACAAATAGCTTTGTATCAAAGGTCTAATTGATTATTCAAATCGGTGAAACTTAAAAAGGCAGATTTTGGACTGGTTCTGTTTGTGATGTAGTTAAAATTGTGTCTAAAGTGAGCTGTAGTTTGTCTGATAAGATTATTGTGATGTATGATCACCAGAACGTGCATTGAAGAGTCTCTCTCACCAGAACGAGATGTCAGAATGTTCCACAGCTGCTTAAAATTATACCAGCACTAGTGTCAACTAAGAAGTTAGTGAGCTGAGTTGAACACCTGTAAAACAAAGTCTGTTGTTCCCAAGGGAATAGATGCATCTTATTTTAAACAGTTTCAAACACAAAGCACCTGAATGATGTTTGTTTGAGATGAGGTGTTCTTTTCTGAGGTGGTGTTCCCCTACACATAGAAGTCCCATAAATAAAGATATAATGTGGAACTGATGGCAGCATAAAGGTTTATAATAATGGTTTCATGAGGCGTAATGAATAATTAAAGGTTGGAGTTGTTTTAGGATGTGGGGGATCCACTTTGGTCTTAGCTGGGTTGGGTTTTGACTAGTCATCAGTAATAAGAAGGGAACAGCCGAAAGAACAAACATCAGTTCTGTTGTTCAAGAATCTATCTACAACAGGTAAGATAATGACTCTTTTTACACATTCCTCTTCGGAATGCTCATTATGTGTCTTTTTAAGTAGTTTATTAGTCAATATTTCTCTGAATAAATATCACAGACATTTTTTCCAAGTAAATGCCATTTATACAAATATTGAGCCAGTATGAAATTAGCTCTGTGAAAAACCAACCAGAACACTCATACAATGTTGTTGTTTTTTGTTTTTTTTTAAGAAATAAAGCTCTGACTGTAAACAAACTTGAAAATGATTTTAGTTTAAAACATGGCACGTTTGTTGATAATTAAAGAAAACCTTATCTTGGTCTTTAATACTCAGCTCAGACAGACTTCACATTTTTCTTACCGAAGTGATGAGACATCGGTGGCGACAGATGTGGGCTGATGTGCAGCTAAGATCTCTGATCAAATGCAGACGGTTCATTGTTTTACCGTCCGCTCTGGTTCAAATTCATTTATTTCCCAGAAATGACTCCGTTACAACGAGGACAGACAGCTCTGAGCATCAGATTTACAAAGATCGACCTTTCTGCCTCACACTGTTCTCAAGATCGTGTCCTGTTTTCTTACATTTCCTCATCATCTGACTCTTTCACTTTGCTGACGTGGATT